TGGGGGTGGGGGTGAGCCACTGGTTGGTGACCGCTAATCTAGGGCAAGCATGTCAAACTCGCGGGCCGCATGTAGCCCACAACGAATATTTTTGTGGCCCAGCCAGTATAACGGTCTGAGCAGTTATTTACAATTATGAAAGGAAATAAGTCTCCTGTCAGATCCAGAAATACTGACATTTCACCTTGGGTCAGTTTGAAAGTAATCACTGCGAACAAGATTTCCCCCGAAGTAGGAAAGATGGTAGCAGAGAAGAGATGCCAAGTGTCAGGAAGAAAACATTGATTTTGTCATTGCTCTTTTTTATATATACTGTACTTTTCTAAATAAACCTACGTTTCTGTGAAAATTGAAGCTTTTTTTTTTTTGTGGCCCACATAAACTTAAACCTTGTTCATTTGGCCTGTGTTAGCCTTTGAGTTTGACATGCTTGATCTAGGGCGAGAGTCCAGGGCAGGAGTGTTGTTCCTATTCAAAGGAGACTGCTGGCTTCCTACTACTGTTCTCTAACTCTGCCTGCTTCCAAACCACCTGCTACACCCCTAAACTGCATGGGCTCACACAGGCTGGAAAAGAAATAAGCCAGATACAACAGATAAACACTGCATGATTCCCTGTATATAGGGTAATTAGAGAAGTCCAATCATAGAAAGAGAAAGTAGAAGGCTCGTTGCCAGGGACATGGGGGTGGGGTTTGGGGGCAAGAGGATGTGGTGTTAATGAGGACAGAGTTTCGGTTTTGCAAGAACACGAGAGTCCTGGTGGTGGTGATGGTTGCACCGCAGTGTGAATGTATGTAATACCATTGAACTGTGCACTAAAAATGGGTAAGATGGCAAATTCTATGTTACATATTTTACCACAGTAAAAAAAAGGGGGGGGGGGGAAATGCCTCAAAGAAGGCAAAACCTGGGAAGATAATATGCAAAAAGTAAAATACCTGTGTTAGTATAATGTTATAAACAGTTTAAGTTTTTTTTTCCATAGTGTGATATTACTTTTATAATTAAAAAAGCAATGAGACAGAAAAAAAATCAAGAAATAATTTGAGATATTTTGATATTTGTTATTCCCCAAGAAAGCACCCAAGTCATCATGGGAAAACCAGAAACTTGTTTAGCATCCTGGCACTTTATTTTATAATTTACTGTTGTTTAAGTTACAGATCCTTGGAGGCCCATGACCTTTTCAATCTTAGTGCCACTAGAAGTTTTAAGCTGGTCTTGGGTGCAGCTGGTTCAGTTTAAGGCTGAGGGAATCGTGCTGGGATGGCCCCTGGGCCCCACAGCTCTGCCTCGAGCCCATCTGTGGGGTAACTTGATTCAGGGCCTCCTCACGAGCTAATTCCATTTTTTTAAAAATTCCTACCCATGGGCCTGGGATAATGGTCATGGCTTTGCCTTTCAGCTCCACAGCAAGGTTGGTTGGTTGGTTGGTGGTTGTTTAAGTGAGTAATTACTGAAGTAGATGAGTGCCACCCCTGGACGTGGACCGAAATAGCAATGAGCCAACTGCTCCTTCCCAGTCAGGAGCTGAAAATGCGCCTGGCAAAGGCTCCTGGGCGGCTCTGTGTGGTGGGGCTGGCTCCCTGCTGTGCCAGGAAGACATGGGCTCGCCTCCTGTTCCGTGAGTGACACTTACATGGTAGGACTCATTGGTAACAATGATGGAAACTAATGCCTGTGCTTTTCACTGACAAAGCTAGGCTATTGCAGGAAACTCAATGTTGAATATTTTCGGAGACTTTGAGACCTTCCAGCCCCATGTTTGACCTTGTTGAGAAGTTCCCTAAACCTAAGCGTGAGATGAGAACAACCTATGGGTTCCACTGTGAGCAAAAAGAGAAACATCGGTTTAATAATAACCAGCGCATGTTGAGCAGTGGCCCTGTGCCGGCTCTGTGCTGACTGCTTTCCTTGCATCAGCTCGTTTCATCTTCAAACCACCCTGCGAGCCAGGGCCCTCGCATTCCCATTTTCAAGGAAGAAATTGAGATTCCAGCAGCCTTAGGACCAGCCCGAAGCCGCCCAGTGACTTGCTGCCCAGTGACTTGACATGACTTTTCAGTAAGTTCACCGTCAGCAGGAACGTGCCAGAAATGCACGTCTGAAAGGTGGGAGCCGTGGCTTCTTTCCCAAAATCAACCGAGATGTCCTGTGAAAAGAAATAGTTATATCCGAGTTTGTGGAATTCTCTTTTCTTTTCCATTTCCAATTGTGTCTTTCTTGCCTAGGAAAAGTCCCCACGTCTCTGCCCAGCAAGTTAAGGTCCTGATTCCACTTTTGTAAGAGATAGAAAAATCTTTCCTTCATCACCTAGAGGACCAAGGTATTTCCAAATAGAATTTAAGCCAACAGCACATAAATTTTGCTAGTCTCTAAAAGCCGTCATCTGTGGTAGTTTCTGAGTCAATTGTAGGCTCGAAAAGTTGAGAGTGAGTGGTGTGATCAAATCCTGGTTTGTCGGCTGAGAAATGTGGTTCTCTGGCTCTGTGCATCGGGGTGACTGTAGGTGAATACGCAGAC